CAACCAAAAAAAACACCCCAGGATCAGCACACAGAAATAAGGCAAGTTACATAAGATTTTCCTTCTCCTACATTCAGCACTGCTGGTATATCAGGTTGAGCATTATGTTCAACTTCAAGCAAGAATAAATTAAGAGAAAAATTATGGGATACTGTATATATCTAGGAGATCAGAAATCACGTAAATCCTGGAGAAAGAAATTTGTTTCAAAGTGTTGGTCCAGAATGAGAGAGGACCATCTCATAACAAGAAGGGCTGCAAAGTAGAGGGAAATAGCTGTTTCCCAGAACTGAAGACAAAGGACACTAGCTTAAGCTACAACATGGAAGATGCAGATAGGGCACTTTAAACAAAAGCGGATGGACAGACAAGCACTGGAAATGACTGTGGACTGGGTAGGACATGGAGCTTCTACCAATGGGGTTTTAAAAATCTATGTCAATTAAGCACCTGTCAGGAAATACTCTGTACCCTGCATCAGTATCTCAAAGCCCCTGACCATGCCAATCTACCCATAAGCTTTAAATGCAGCTATTTTTTCTCCTTGGTCACTGTTTGTCTCAAACATTTGTATGCAATTACCACGTGTCCTCATTTTCCAGCAGTTAAGCAAGCATTAAATATTTAGTACTTTCCATCTTCCCTGATGAATCAGTCAAGGTGGTCTTTTACAAGTACTGTTTTCATTCTAAGTATCCTCTCCGTATGTCTTGATTCTTTAGGCCAAGGGATATTCACAGGAATATTTTATTCCTGAATGTCATTCTACAGTTCTCAAATTACAGGTTTTAAATTTTTTTCTGTGTTCTCACACTCTGGGTTTGCATTTAGAGTACTATTTTCAGTTGGATTAGCTTTAATTTATGTAATATAATTCTCCTTTTTTTCAGTCATAGAGCTCATCACTGTTGGTACTTACATGGTACTTGCTGTAATACACAAAACCTCCCCATTTAAAATTATTTACAAACTGACTTAAGACATTCAATTACTTGAAAACATATTTTCTGCTGAAATCTCAGAGACAGAAAGATAAGTAGCACATTATCAAGGAGGATCTATAATGGAGGCTGCCAGTGGTTACCTTTGATCTTTGATATAAAATGTTGTAGAATCAATTACAGTAATTACAGAACTACTAAGTGGTTTCTCTTGATACATTTTATAAACTACTCTTGATTATCATGTTTATTACAAGTGAACATATAATTTCCTATCTTAAAATATTCATATACAAATGTATTCAGTATTCAGCATACTTGCCAAATACAGTTTTAAAGGAACAGATCTTGTGGTAGACAGTACTAGGTACTGTTACCACAGTAGATGGCCACTGAAATGAAATCAAAGCCAGTATGACTTTTGTTTATCCTACAAAACTAGAAAATCTGACTGATACACTGGTTTGTTTGGGTTTTTTTTTGTTTGTTTGTTTTTTGTTTTTTTGTTAAGTTTTAGTTATAGGCAGTCAGGTATTTATTTCTCAAAAAAGAAAAGATGTCTCATATATCTTTGAGGCTAGTGCTCCAAAGTGTCTTAAGAACTCTGTAATAGTAACTGGGTGTTTATGCAGCTGACAAAGGCTCCTGAAGATACACCAGTAATCCTATCAGGGTTCAGATTTAGACCTAGCCACAGAAAAACTGCATTACGTTGCTACTGAAAGCTTGAGGTGAAACCCTCTATGAAGTGTCTGTCACTGATGGCTCCTTCCAGTGTTAACTGTAGTAGACTGAGCAGTGTGAAGGTCTAGTGGTGCTGTAGTCAAAATCTCTAGAAAAGATCCTTTGTTTTCATAAATCACCAGACATTCACTCAAAGATTATTTCCTTTTAAATGCATTATAGTATGAGCGATACCTTTTCACATAACTTGTGAAGTCTAAGCCCTCTATTTTAAAGACGAGAAAGGCCTTTGAAAAACACAATTTTTCTTCATCAGCATGGAAAGGAAAGGCTCCCTGGGGGGAGCTGAAATTTCATATAAACACTACTGAAGTTCTCTATTTGGAAAATATTTTAATCCCATGGCCTGTTTAGGTGTAATTTTTTTTTTCTTAAAATCAGGAAATTATTGTATGACAGGGGAAAAAAGTTGGTATCTACAAACATCAATATTTGGAGCATAAAAATAAATATTAGCTTAGAAGAAATTTGGGCTGTAAGTAATTAACTTCTCTGAAATTAATACATGTTGATGTGAATGTAAAGTTTTCTTCAAAATTGAATACTTTTCAACAGCAAAACATAAACCAAATAATACAGTGCCTTTTGTCCAACTGTGTTCCGCTTAAACTTTTCTGACAAAAAAAAAATCGGCCAGGATTCTGTGTCACATGAGTTTAAGTCAGTTACATAAAGCCTGGCTTTGACACAAGAATTTATCTTATTTTTCAACAATTAGATTCTTTTTCTCCCAGTCATTCAGTTAATATTCCTATGTCCATTTATGAAGGTACATACAAATTTTTTAAGTATCACTGTCTTTGCTCTTATTTATTTCATTTAAAAATTATTTCACAAGCATACAGAAATCTGAAATCATTTTTCAATCTCTCTAATCTTCATAAATCCAAGAGACGTGGCCCTCAAGCCAAGTTTTTCTGTCACACAGGAGTATTCCATTGCCATTATGACCTATGAACTGGCCCTGATACTGCTAACATATGGACATCTGCTCAACTTTATACCTATAAATCACCTTACTGACCTCAGGTAGCCTATTGATAATAACTAAAAGCAGGAATTTGCAAAATATACTTTTTAAGACTGAGCCTTATACTGCTTCTACTGTCCGATATTCTGATTTATCCATCTGGAATGGATCACATAATACCTGCAAATCTGAGAGTTTGCCTGGGAAGTGTTTATTCCTTGATGTAGGGCTGATTTCAAACTCTGCTCAAAGACATGGTCTATAAATAGCATATATTACTGAAATAAATATATTTATGTACTAGACTGAAAACAAATTACTAAAATGAAACCAACCCTCTGGAGTCCATCAATGGGCAGGAAAAAGTCTTGAAAGGACCATTTCTGTTGCTCATGGAGAGGCTGCTGAATGCTTTTCCTATCTCTTTCTCGAGTTTCATGCACATAATCATAAACTCCAGAAGCATGCTTCACCTGAGCAACTGCATCAGCAAGGAATTTTATCCTGTGCACTACGTCAACACAGTAGGGCTGCTGAATTCTGCCAGAAATTCTTTGCAAAAGAAAATGCACGGGTGAGCTGATTCCCTGAGCTCTGGCTGCTCCCACTGATGCTCAGCGGGAATGAAAATCCCTTTACAAACATTCATTAAGCAGCGAACACTCTGCAATGCTGAGAGCCCTACGTGGCGGCAATACCTCAGGCTTTAGAATCCCCTAGGAAAAGAAGAAAATAATCATGAAGTGTTACGGTTTAAGATTGCTCCCGGTCATTGCTTAGGACTGTCTGCCAACACACAGCGCGTACTTAATTTTTAACTAATCAGGCGACCACGGAGAAACTTACTGTTGCCGCGGTAAATCCCCCCCTCCACGTTTCGTAAAAACTCCCCTCCCCAAGTGCTACACCAAATTCAGCTCCAGCATCCACGCTCGTTCTCAGCTCTGCAACCCGCGGCTCCGTTCAATTAAAATGTGACGCGGGGGGTGCGGGGACACCGCACGTGTGTAAAAAATCCACTTCAATCTCCAAATCCTTCCCTCTCGGGCTGGGTCAGCTCCAGAGGGGCGACTCCCGGCTCTGCGGGCAGCGTTTTTAAGACGATCATCTCAAGCTGCAGAAATGTACCGCGACGCTTTTTTTTGGTGTGAGGTCGGGGTGGGGTTTTCTGCGCTTTCCCCACCGCCCGGTTTTTCCCCGGGGCTGCCCTGCGCATCCCCCCGCGGCCCCGTCCTGCCGCGCTGCCCGCCGCGCTCACCTGCTCCCGCGGGCCGGCGGCGGCTCCATCCCGGCGGGGCGAGCGGGCCGAGCCGAGCCGAGCCGAGCCGAGCCGAGCCGAGCCGGGCCGGGCCGGGCCGGGCCGAGCCGCGGGGCCCCCGGCGGAGCGGCGCGGAGGGGAGCCCTCCCCGCACCTCTCCGCCGGGGCCACCCCCGCTCGGCGCCTCCCGATCCTCACTTCCCCGCAAGCGGCAGGAGGCGGGGTAAGACAGAAAAGGGGCCGGGTTATCAATTCCCTGTTAACTCTTCTCCTTGCGGTCTTCTCTAGTCCCTTGGGCGGCTTCTGCGAGGAGGACGCTGCTGATGGAGGTGGTGGTGGCGGTGGGATGCTCCGTCAGGGAAGTGGGAATTGCTGTGGGGGGAGCAGCAGGGTCCCCGAGCTCCTCTAAACCGAGGGATATGGGAGCCGCGCTGTCTGCTGATGGCAAAGGCGGCCAAGGAAGATTAGCCCTTGTCATTTAAAGGTTAAGCGCAAAGCTAACCTTTGTGATTAGGTCCTGTCTGCAAGTCTTCCCATCTCTTGACTCTTGAGGGAATATTTTTTTCCCCTACTCCCGCACTGATTCCTATTAAAGCAGTCTAAAAATGGCAGATCGTTTCTATACTTTTGTATACTTACAGGTGTTTATTGCACAAGTGCGAAAAAATCCAGCCATGCACCAGGACCCCAATACAATTAGCACTATAAACATGAGCTAAAGAGATAGTCCTGTCCCAAGAACTTATAAATTATGCATAAGTGATTACAGATAAAGAAAAATGCAACAAAACAATACCAGCCAGTATGACAGGCAGGGAATTCAGCACAACATTGCACAAAGTATGAATGTACTGAATTATTTACTGTTACAGGTAGTCTTTTCCTCAAATTGGTTTTAAGACCTGAAGACAGGATTATGAGGAACATGACTGTGTATTGATGGGGTTTTCATGACTGACAAAATTACTCAAGAACATGCATTCCTGTTACTTTGACAATCCCATCTGAATGAAAATATTCAGGGGAAGATTTTAAGAACAAGATGAGAATAAGCACAGTGAAAACACATAAACCTAATATTCCATTAAATGTACCAAAGTAATGGAGTAATGATGAAACTCTTGGTCTCCATTATGAAGGAATTAAACAGCTAGATAATAACTAGCCTTCTTAACACCTTCAAAGAGCTTTGACTAATTTGAAAGACATGAATGTCCTTTGCAAACATTGTGTTGACTTGTCCCTGTTATTCCATACTTCCATGTATGTTCTGCTAATTTAATTCTGTAATATGGTGAGGGCTAAATTGGCAGACAAATCGGGGTCTGCCATTCCCAGGCTCTTTCAGATACCTTTTTTGGAAGTTAATGCCATATATGCCTCATTCTTCCTTCAGGTAAAAGTCCTCAAGTGTGAATACTACCTTATGTTATTTGTTGACATAATTTACTTATTCTAAAAGGTCTTCAGTTAGAAATAACTGCCTCAAATTTAACCTTCTTAGAAAAAGATTATGATGTAGACTCATAAAACTTTACTGTCAGCAATTCACACAGCCTTTTCCCTTACCATCTAATGTTTCCTGGATGTTCCTTAAAACTAGAATTATGTATCAGTCATACAGATTCTCTCATCAGATGACTTTGTGCTTCTGAAGCATTTCAAATATATGTTAAGCATGTAGCTTAATACACTTTAGAAAAGATAAACCCTTTTTTAATTAAGGCTAAACCAACCCCTACATTTATTAAGGTCTCATCATGGTCTCATCATACAAATTTAGGCAGAATGAAAATAGAATACCTTTTCCTTTGGAGTACTATGCATCTACAATTACCTAATAAACTGCAGTCTGTAGCAACCCCTCTTCCCTAAACAATTAAAAGACCTCATTAAAATATTTTTTCTATATTAAAAAGGATTTAGGTCATTAAATTAAGTGACCAAACATTGGGAAAGCCAGAAGGCTGCCTATGAAACCTTAATTCAGACCTCTTGTGCCTGTGTATTGCAACCCTGTACTTAATTATGAGTTTCTCTGCAGAATACCAGGCTCCATTTGGAACATTTGAAATTATGTAGTGGCAAGCATGTAAGACTGGCTAATTATGTTGCCTCTTGCATTCCCATTAATTTATTCCTTTACTCTCTAGCATCTCTTTTGTGCTCATCCCTTATCATCTTTCATCTGGAGATTGTTCTCTCCCTGGTCTGTCTGAAACCTTTACCCTTAGATAACCTTTTGCAGTCAGTCAGGTAAAGGTAGGGTTACAGGAACTGCTAATTATTCCTTCAAAGGTTATTTGTGATTTTTCTCCAAAGGTGAGGGAAAAAAAAAAAAGAAAGAAAGAAAAAGGAATAAAAACAAAGCAAGGGTAAAAAAGACAAGGAAACCCAAGGAAATAAGTTTCAGGTTGAAGCAGTAGGGAAGTAAGGAATCAAGGTCAGTCTTCATGATATCACAGAGCTTCCTTATTACAGAGGATCATTTCTCAAATTACAAGCTTTACAAAGAGACAGTTGTACTTGAAAGCAAAAGGCAGTATTAAGTTGCCTGGTGCCTTGGAGGGGAAGGATCCTGCTGTATTTATATATAAATAAGGCTGCAGTGTCTCAGTAGACATTCTGGAAAAGTGATTTTTTTTTTTTTAAGCTTGTGACAAAAAGTCTACTTTATGTCTGCTTCCACTGGAAGAAGGCCTCATCGTGTGATTTTTTTTTTCCTCTCTACAATAAATAGTACAAAGACTAAACACCTTTGAGAAGCTTATTTTCTATGCAGATGCTTGAGAGGTAGTCATGAGCTAATGACTTACATCTTTGGTTGGTGAATTTGGTCTTCACATAGAATTATAATGTTACTGTCAAACTGTAATGTTGTTTTAAAAAGTTTTCCATGAAAACTAACAACAGATGGAAGCAGTGGTGTTTGTGATAGTACTACAGTAAACTAAAAGCAGTAGCTTCACTTCGTGGGAAATTTTAGACCTTAAAAGGCTAAAAAAATAATATTCTTTAGCAGCAACTATTCAATTTTTTTTTTTTTTTGCAACATGAAAATCCAAAGCAAATTTGATCTAGAAAAACCGTGCTATTTTTCAAATGAAATGGGGTTTCTAAAGGCTTAAGTTTCCCAGTGAAATTTAGTATAAACATATTTTGTTTGCTTGGCAATCTCAATATCACAGAAGTCAAATTTTCAAAAGTTGCTAAAAATGGTAGTTACTGTCCTGAGTGCTTCAGTCGTTAGGTACTTTCTTACCTTTTCCCATACATGGTCTTTGTAATCACTGGCAATAGAAACTTGATTTATTGAATAAAATTCATATCCTCTACTTCTCATTTACTTCCGTAAGTTTTAATAATAACAAAATCCTCAAAATTTTGATAATACTGTGTGCTGAGCCATGCTCAGGGTGTAATGGATTTACTTTGAATGGGATAAGAAAGCAAAACAAATTTACTGAAAGTAAGCCATATTACAATCCAGTAAAATTAAACACTCATTACTTCAGGAACATAACTGTACAGATATTTTTTCCCATAGGCTTACTATGAAGTCAAGCTTGTATCATGGGAGATTTTTAATGTGTGACCTTCATAGCCTACCATGCAGAGCTGCTGTGGGGATTTACTAGTTAAGATTTGTAAAGTGCTTTGAAGATTATAAGGCATTAAGTTGCACAAGTGCTAAGATTATTACTCAATACTTAAGTACAACCAAGCTTTACAGGACAACTCATGTTCACCTCACTAGAAAGAGTCTTTGTTATTTCTTTGTGATTTCAGTACAGTTGTTGCAAGAGGTAAAGCAGGCAGAACTGACCATGACAGAAGGAAATTCCTTTCTCATTTCATTATCAAAGAGTAAAGTGAGATACAACTTAGTGGTATTGCAGTAAAATCAATTGAAAAATAATTATTATGAAATGCACTGATAGAAATCCATGTAAAATGCAGGGCTCCTTAATGTGCCAGTACTGTAATTTTTACTATGTCCTATCTTGCCCAAGTAGATCCACAGACTATTCTCTAGAACTCCAAATCCCAGACCTATAGATAAACCAAATTTATCAGCTGAAAATGCTGCCAAGTGACAGTAGGGATGGGTAAAATCTGTACATTGGTAAGTTGTATGTACTTCATATATATTTTAGCTTATTTAAGTCAAAATTTTGGAAGAAATATGAACACAGACTGCTGTCTTTATTAATCAGATTGGGAACACCTTATTCTGATGCAATTGCTTTGTTGGGTTTCATTCTGATATAAACCTTCTTCTTTCTTGTTTTATAATGTCAGTTTTCAGCAGCAAGAAGTCATTGGGGTTTTTGTGGTAGCAAAGGGACAAAATATTTGCTAATAAAATAGCAATGCAAAACAGGACAATGTGACATCATTTTACACTTAAGCATGCTGGAGATAGAGGAATATGTGTTTCAGGATTGCTGACAGACACAAACTGTAGAGGTTAAGGTGGCATATTGTTGGACCCTGAGCTGCATCCCAGCATCCTGAAGTCATGAAGACCTTATTTGGCATGCAGAGAAGGAGGGTTTGGTTTATTTACCTTACAAAGACTAATTGTTATTCAATGGAAGTGTCTTTTCAGGACAAAGCCCTTAGTACTTGCATTTCTTGCCTCTGCAAAAGTGCTGCAGACATTTAACAAGGACAGACTTTTTTAAGTATATGCATGTCCTCTCTGTGGCTAAAAATAAAGACTACTTTTCTATAGTGCTTTAACATTTTGATCTCAGTTGAAGCATATAATAAAAATTCAATTCAGTGACTGTCTCCAGTATGACTGAAGTTCAGCTTTAGAGATAAGTAAAGGTAAAAGAGGGAAAACAGAAAGTGAATAGTGTACTTGCACAACAGAGATTCTTATCCATTCCTGGGTCAAGGAAGATACAGGCCCCTAATGCTTCTACTTTCTCTTCAGAAATCATTGACTTTGCTTCCTCT